AAAAAAAAAAAAATCTCACCACCCAGAGAAAGCTCTTGATATCATCTTCCAGAACTCACATCTCCCTCTGGTAATATATTGATGCATTTGTCTAAACCAATAACTGTTTATCAAGTACCTACTCTGTGCCAGGCTTTGACTGGGTCCTGGGGATAAAGGGTAGATCTGCCTCTGGGGGACGGACTTTCATCAAAGAATGACATATGTGATTATTTAGTTGCAGCTGTGGCCAGAGCTGTGAAGAAGGTGCTGGTTCTTTGACCTAGCCAGTGAGGACAGGGAGGGCTTCGTGGAGGAGGTGACAGGTTGATGTGAGTATAGAGGAGATATTAACCTGGAGAGATAGGGAAAGAGCATGTTGTAGAGGGCAAGCCTCTGGAGGAAGAATTCCAATGTGGCCACCACGGCTGGTGTCCAGTTCCCCTTCTTCCATCGCTATAGAAACCAGATTTTGTTCTGGTGTCTACCCCTCCAGCCATTAACTTACTACTTTACTCAGGTAAATCCTAATGAGTCTAAGCAGATCACAGTGGACCTCATCCCTTTGCCAGTGGTTGGGGGCGGGGGAGGGCACGTGGTCCAGCTCTGACTCTGAGGAGGGGAAAACGGTCTGTAGGAGGGCTTCTGGGAAGGATCAGCCAAACTCTTTTCTGCCTCTGAACACTGATGGTGAGGATGTGATATATGGAACTGCTGCAGCCATCTTGCACCCCTGAGGATGAGACTAACATCTGATGGTGGTTGAGCCAAAAAAAAAGCAAGAATCTGGGTCCTCAATGATGTCCTCTAGCCTTTGGATAAACAGTTCTGTACTGCCCTACCTGGGACTTCTTTTTATGCAAGGAAAACAAGGCTCCTTGTTGTTTATGTGATTTTGAATTGGGTTTTGGGGAAGTCGGTCTAGTTGGAGGTGGGGGCTGAAGGGTTTGTCCTGCAGTAATTGCACATTGTTTTTACCTGGATTGTGGGCTTACTAGGGGTAGGAGTGGGGGCTGATGGAGGTTATGACCATCATCCCCCAAACTGTCCTTTGGCTCCACTAAAGCTCATTAAAGGGAATAACCTCTGATCTAAGAGGTTCTTGGGGCTTGAACATAGAGAGCAATGGGAGAGTGCCAGGAGATATGGCAGAAGTGAGTACCCATAGGTGTGCATGGAAGCCCTGTGTCAGCCCTGACTGTCCCCATCTTGTCCAGGTACTCTTTGATATTCAATTAACTTTAGCTCCTCTTTCTATGCACTGTGGGAAATGCCCCTCCAGCGGTCCCAAGGGCTCCTGGGCAGCCAGACTCTATCATGTCAATGGCTTCCTAATCATTGCTTTGGATTTGTCAACTTCTCCTTGCATTTCTGTCAGAATTTGCTTTACTGAAACATCATTCAGATACTATAAAATTCAGCCTGTAAAAGTATACTGAATTCAGTGAGTTTTAGTATATTCACAAGGTTGTGTAACCATCATCACTATTTTATCCCAGAACATTTTCATCACCCCATAAAAAATCCTCATACCCATCAGCAGTCACTCCCCAGTTCTCACTCCCCCAGCCCCTGGCAACCGCTAATCTTTCTCTCGCTATGGATCTGCCCATTCTGACATTTCACATAAATGGAATCATACAATATGTAGCCTTTTGTGACTGGCTCTCCTCTCACACCAAGCATCCCATCAGGTAATATTCTCAACAAGGGCAAGAGCTACTGCAATCACCTCTAGTTACAAATAGTACTTTTCCCCCTGGCTATATGTACATAGAAATTTTCTAGAAACAAAACCATAGTCTACATGGGGTTTTCTACTCTTTTCTTAAATTATTATTCATAAAATATTGAGGACATTTATCTGTGTCAGTATAACCCTTTTCAATGTCTGTAGAATAACTTATGAGGTTAAAAAGTAATTAGCAGGTGTCTGGGTGGCTCAGTCAGTTAAGCATCCAGCTCTTGGTTTGGGCTCAGGTCATGATCTCAGAGTCTTGGGATCAAGCCCCACATCAGGCTCTGAGCTCAGCAGAGAGTCTGCCTCTCTCTCTCTCCCTCTCCCTTTGCCCCCCCAAAATAAAATAAATAAATAAAATCTTTTAAAGATAATAATAATAATTTTGGCTTGAGTTCAGTGCTTAAGCATGCAGGCCCACAGGAAAGAAAAGAATGACCCGCTCTGGATGGGTCTTCACTGCCCTTCCAGCTTTTCATGAGAGTAAATGATAAGAAGAGCATCCTGTGTGTACATTTCCTTAAAGTTCTAGACATAGGACTGTGGGCCAAATGGCATGCGTGCTTATTTCTTTTTATATTCTCCCAAATTTTTCTAGGGAAAGGTCAGATCAGAAAAACTGTCCACTGCAGTGAAACATTGTGGCTTCTGGACTCTAACTGCCTGGGTTTTAATCCATTTTCTACTGCTCCTTAAAGGTAGGACCTTAACCTGTCTGTGCCTCAGCCTCCTTATCTATAGAATGGGGGTAATGAAAATACCAATTTCACAGGATTATTTTGAGAATTACATTAGTGTGATATATGTAAGTGGCGGTTCTCGACTGGGGATGACTTTACCCCTCAGTGGACATTCGGCAATGTCTGGAGGCATTTTTGGTTGTCACAGCTGGGGTGTGGTGGCACCTATGGGGAGAGACCAGAGGGGCTGCTAAACATCCTACAATGCACAGGACAGCGCCCTCCACCAACAAAAAATGATCCAGTCCCAAATGTCAATAGTGTTGAGGTTGAGAAATCCCTGTGTAAAGGGCCTGGACTGGAATAAGCTCTTATCAGTGTTGACTGTCATTGTTTACACTCACACCAGCAGAACCAAAGAGTGTTCGTTTACTCATACTTTGGCCAAACCTTACAAATTCGAGTTAACTTTGATGGGGAGGACATTGTATGGTGGAACATTTCTAAACCATCAAAGGAACGTTTCCTTACCCCTTCATGGGCCTGACCACATGGGATTAGTCTCCATTCTGGCCACGGGTTTCCGGGGAACTGGCTGGCAGTTGGGTCCAGCTGAGGAAACTTTGACCTTGTAAGCAACAGCTTCAGAATTCCTGGGATTACCTGTGTATGTGTTTGTCTCTGAATATGTAGATGCAGGGACATGTGGTGGGTAAAAGGTAGATTTTGACGTCAGGTCTGGATTCAGATCCCAACTCTACTGCTTCCTAGTTGTGAAGACAAATTACTTCTCTAAACCCTGTTTCCTCATCTGTAAAATAGGATTATTGTGAGGATCAAATAAGATAATATAGCTCCATGCCTGGTTCTTAGTCAGTGTTCAAATATAACACGTGTAGTTTATTCAGTGATTACAACAGCCCTCTGCTAAGACTTTCCACATCATTATTCAGCTTGATGGCAACTATTGTGATAGTCATCGCTCTCATCACAATAAGGTCAAAGACTCTGTGTCTTTCTGTCCAGGTACAAGGAAAAGCTACTTGTTGAGCTTTTAGTCAACATTCCACAAACGTTTGCTGAGCATTACTATGTTCCAGCCCAAATGCGGGGCACTGGCAGATGAAAGGGGCTGCTAATTCTCTCCCATTCATATTAAAGAGGTCGGGGGTAGGGGAGCTGGCTGGTCCAGTCAGTAGAGCTTCTGACTCTTGATTTCGGAGTTGTGAGTTTGAGCCCCACGTTGGGCATGGAGCTTACTTAACAAAAAAAAAAAAGACATATTAAAGAGGTAAACAAATGAAAACCACAAACAAAATATCAGGAAAAAGCCCAGACATATTAGCTTTCACTATACATGTAAATGGGTTAATTTCCTTTATGAAAACAAAAACAGCAAGAAGATAAGTGAAAAAGCAGAAAGAGAAAGTTTAGTTATGTGTTATTGGTAAGGGAACTAAAACAAGCCTTGGAAGGAAATAATCTCCAATGAAATAATTCTGTATTTATAAATTATTGAATTATATTTCAAATGAATAACAAACCACATTGGAAGGAAAAAAAGAACCAATCCAGGTAACTTTTGAATACAGAACTTTGATATATACTCTCAGTCTGAAGTTAAAAAGAATTGTGTCCTTGCTTTGACAGCACATATACTAAAATTCAAACAATACAGAGAACATGAGCGTGGCCTCTGAGCAAGGATGACATGCAAATCTGTGAAGAAAAAAACCAAAAAGATTAAAGGGTCACCTGGCTGGCTCAGTCAGTAAAGCACCGAACTCTTGATCTCAGGTCATGAGTTGAAGCCCCACTTTGGGTGTAGAGCTTACTTAAAAAAAAAAAAAAGATTAAAAAATTGCAAACAAATATTGAAAACTCTACCTAATAGGCTTGTTTTTCATAGTGGCATGGATTAGCAATTCTAAACCTATTCTCTGTGTACTGGAAGATAGAGTAAAAGATGAAATACATTGAGGATATTGAGAGCCAGGTTTCTCACTGATATGGAAGGGACACACAAATATGCCATGGGGAAGTCCAGGAAGAATGTTGTGGTACTGGCCTGGACTAGGAGGTAGCAGGATGAACCCCTGGATTTATATTTAGGTATGCATGTATTTCCTAGTTCTGTCCACTGAGAGGACCTAGAAACAATAAGCCCACCCAGTGCCTAGCTCCTAGCTTCTTTTTTTAAGGTTTTTTTTTTTTTTAATTTGAGAGAGAGAGCATGAGAGGGAGAAGAAGACTCCCTGCTGAGCAGGGAGCCCCATGCAGGACTCAGTCCCGGGACTCCAGGATCGTGACCTGAGCTGAAGGCAGCCGCTTAACCAACTGAGCCACCCAGGCACCCCTAGCTCCTAGCTTCTAAATATCATGCTCTACCAAAGGAACCAGAGCTCTGTGGAGAAAGGACTGATATCTGGGCCAGGCAAGAAAGAGTACAAGATGAGCCTGGAGCATCCTTTTGCACTTGAAAGTAAGCAAGGACTCAATGAGTAAGAGAGATCCAGCAAAACTCCATAGTAGTTAGCTTGAATGAGCTTTCATTCCAGACAAATCTGTAACAGTTTGGTTATCAAGTAAATAATGATAGTAATGGATTATAACCCACTGAATAAGAATTCATGGCCCAGCATCCATACAAGCATATCTGTACATCTACTGTAAGCTCTTCTTTACAGTAGAATGCTAATAACAACAGATATTTTAAGTCACAATTTTGTAATCATCAGAGTAATAATGAATATAGATAAGAATTGTCAAGATCTAAACAAAGAGGGTGAAAGTTTGATGAGGAATAAAATATCTGGGGTGCCTGGGTGGCTCAGTCGGTTAAGCATCTGCCTTTGGCTCAGGTCATGATCCCAGGGTCCTGGGATCGAGTCCTGCATTGGACTCCCTGCTCAGCAGGGGAATCTGCTTCTCCCTCTCCCTCTGCCCCTGCTCATGTGCTCTCTCTTTCTTGCTCATTCTCTCAAAATAAATAATTTTTAAAAAAAAAAGGAATAAAATATCCGTCTCAAAGTACTCCCGTAAAAATTATTTGTGAATTACAAAGAGAAAATAGTAATTGTACAGTAGATAAAAGTGGTAGACATGCCTTAACCAAGTGACCAAAATAACCATCACCAGTGATGGGACAACTTGACATCAGGTACTTCTTTTTTATTTTTTAAGATTTTATTTTTTTAAAGTAATCTCTACACCCAACGTGGGGCTCAAACCCACAACCCCAAGATCAAGAGTTGCATGCTCTACCAACTGAGCCAACCAGGCACCCAACAAGTGCTTCTTAATAGAATGCACTGAAAAAGACAATAATCGTTTCTGCCCTGGCCAAAATGCACAGCCTGATCTAATCATGAAGAAATATCTGACAAATGAAGATTGAGGAATACCCTACAGAATAAATGACCTGTACTCCTCAAAAATGGCAATGTCATGAAAGACAAAAAGGATGAGGGACTGTTCCCAAGTTGGGGGAGACTACGGAGACATGATAATTAGATGTGACATATAATTCCAGATTGGATTCTGAACCCGGAGAAAAATTGCTCTGAAGGGCATCATTGGGAAGGTTGGCCAAATTTGCATAAGAGCTGTAGATTAGATAGGATGTTACGTCCATGCTAAATGTCCTGATTTTGCTAATTGTCCTGTGGTTACATGCGTATCTATGTTCTCGGGAAATATACACTGAAATATTTAGGGCTAAAGGGGCATCATATCTGCAACTTACCCTCAAATGGTTCAGAAAAAAGATATACCTAGAGAGAGAATGATAAAGCAAATGTCACAAACATGAATAAGCGAATCTGGGGGAAGGGTATATGGGAATCCTTTCTGCTACTCTTATAACTTAGAACCTTTACATTATTTCAAAGTAAAAAGTTAAATAGAAAGAAAGAAAGAAAGAAAGAAAGAAAGAAAGAAAGAAAGAAAGAAAGAAAGAAAGA